CTGAANTATATATATACACACACACACACACACACACACATTATGGAACATATGAGTAATTTATATGCTGAAGTGGGTATGCTTAAGTATGGTGTTATTGGATTTTAAGGGGATTTTTGTACATGAAATTAGAGTAATGTTCTAAAATTTGTGTTGAGGGTTGATAGTAATCCCGATTTTGACAGACAGCTTGGCAAGTTGGTGAGAAAATGGCAATAAATTTCTCTAGAAAATTCGTATAGATGCACCATTTTTTTTTGTTAGAGCATAGACTCATAGATCTTTCTAACCATATATGATACATAACTTAATTCTATTTGTGAAAAAACTGATGTATGTTTAAAGTTGACTAAAAATCTGTAACTAATGGAAAAAAAAAATCAGCTTAGTACTTTTACAGACAAATGAACATAACTCTTCACATAGAACTCTGATTTTAGCTCATGACCAATGATTACAAAGCTTAGGAATGCTACTTTGTAATTAATTTGATATTTTTCTAATTTAGTGAGGATAGAAGCCTATTTTCATAAAGTTCGAGTAATAGGTTCGTATAACATTTTGACACATGTAAAGTGTTTGACAAAATGTTTAAGCTAAGGGAAATATTGGAAACGGGGCTAAAGTGACGCAATTAAATTGTATTGAGCATAATGTAAAATAAAGGTAACAATTAAATGAAGTTATTGATAATTATTTATGTATGGTGATTTCGCTTAGTTGCCGATTGGGACGATAACATCAATCAATCGACTATTTTAACTACCAATCGAATGTTTGGGAAGATTGAATTATAATACATACGAAATGCTATAAAGCATATTCATATGCATTCATGTGCAACAATTAAGTTATTTTTTAGTCGATACTCATGTTCATTCATCCATGTGTTAACTATTAAGATCGGAGGCTACTACCTCGGTTACACTTAGGTAAAGTAAGGAAGGGTATCTATTAGCAGTAGAGATAAAGTGTATTGCTTCATAATAATTGAAAATAAAATTCTATGACATATGAATTATTTTTCACTATGTGAAATTAAGTTTTGATGATTTGATTTATGTTGAGTTGATCAAATAATGGATCAAAATTTTTTTTTTTTTTAAAAGTTTGTGGTTTGTTAAAAAGCTTGTGATTCAAATAGTATTTACTGTGCTAGAATTGTTGGATAGTCTGACATGACTTACATGTTGTTGTCTGGACACTACACTGTTGTNAGTATCTACTGTGCTAGAATTGTTGGATAGTCTGACATGACTTACATGTTGTTGTCTGGACACTACACTGTTGTCGTGTGACAGCTTGACATTGCTTAAATGTTGTAAATATCTTGGCATTGCGTAAATGTTGTTGATAACCTGATATTGCTTAAATGTTGTTATTGACTCATAGCACATGTGAACTATTTATTATGTTGATATTTTGACAGTGATTATGAGATTTCAAAGTGAGTTGAACACACTTTGATTTTGTCTTTCTCTTCAAATTGTGAACATATTTTGGCGAAATGATATTTGATACATATTTTTAATATTTTAATATTTCTATTTATTATGATGCACAGTACACTCAAGAAAATATTTGTTTTCAGAAAACTGAAGTTTAGAGTTAAGTCCACTACAACACTAGTATGAGACAGGAGGTTAAGGAAACTGGTCGTATACATTTTGTACAAGAGTGTTCGTTTCCTTGTTGATGTAAGGGATGAATTCCCTAATTATTTCTTTTGATTTAAATTCCATAGTTGTGCACTCTACCACAAAGTTATATAGTTTATCTCTTTCATGAGATCATTAGTTGGTATTATTGGTTTTGATGTATTCCTGAATTACAGGCGCAGGTATTGCCATGTGTCAAGTTATCCTTCCATCTTTGGGATATCAAATAGGTCTTTTGGGATGGGGTGTGACACTAACTGTCGACAAAGAATTAGGAAAGACATGCTGAAAAATTGATATGTTTCTACCTTTCCAAATGTTTCATCCCATTGTAGCAACTTTACTTATCTACTCAATAAAGGACGCAACATTACCCCTATTCTCCATCAAAGAAGAAGTACAGCTCTTTACTGAGTTCACGTTTCCTTTATCCACTCTGTAGTTAAGATCCATTCCTAACTAAATTATTTGAGTCCATTCGCACTTGAACAACATATGCTCAATACTTTCCACCTCTACTCCACAAATTTGGCAAAGTGGAGAAGAAGCACATTTCCTCTTGAAAGGATTTTCCTGAGTAGCCACAACATGTGACATGCTTTCCACCAGAAATGTCTAATTTTTGGAGCAAATTTTAGACTCCAAATTAGATTCAAAAAGCTTTGAATGGGACTGATTTAAGGAGGACTCTACAACATCAATTCTCCTATGCTTAGCTTTCCACGCCTCATGATACCCACTTTGTACTGTTAACTTCCCATTCCAATTAAATGCCCTTACTCCTTTATCTTTCCCCTGGCATTTTGCAATTGGTATCTTTCTTATAGCCTCCCAATCTTCTCTACCAACCCAGCTTTTTAAAATATCCCTCTTCCATTCCCCAGTTGTGTGGTTTATAAAATCACTCACCTTTGTCAAGTTACAACATTGTGGTCTTTCAGATCCCACCATAGAATTAGAGGAAAAAGGAATCTACTTGTCCTCCAAAAAGAGAATTTCTTCTCCTCTCTTTACCTGCCAAATCAATCCTTTTTTAAGTAGCTCTTTCCCCTTTAACAGACTTGACCACATCCACTACAATCTTGAACCCAATTTTGCATTCATGAAATCATCATTTGGAAAGTAGATAGCTTTCAACATTATGGCCCAATAAGAGCTAGGATACTTAAGCAGTCTCCAACTCTGCTTTGCCTGTATTAAAGCTTTCAAAATCCCTAAACCCCATACCTCCAGATCTTTTGGCCTCAATCACCTTAACCCAATTTTTCCAATGTATTTTCCTATGCTCCTTATTATTTCCCCACTAAAACCTTCTAATAAGCTTATTGATCTTTACACAAAGACAAAGAGGAAAAGATACACACAACATCGTATAGGTTGGAAGGGCCTGAGCAACTGCTTGAATTAGAAACTCCTTTTCAATTCAACTAGGTATCTTTTAAATTCTTTCAACCAGGTATCTTTCAACCAAGTATCCAAAGGTTTTAGACTTAGATCGACCCCAGAAAGACAAAATACCAAGATACTTGACTATGTTAGGCAGATGCTTCATGTTCAAAATATTACAAATTTCCCATTTCATCTCATTTGTTGAAAATATTATCCCCAACTTATGAAAATTTATTGACTGCCCAAACACAGTGCTAAACTTCTCCAACGCCCTTCTCAACTGTGATCCCTCCTATACTTTAGCTTTCAAAAAGATAAGAAAGTCATCTAGATACCAATCGAGACCTAGAGATTTGAGAGCCCCGATTTGCATTATAGTCTGATGAATCTCCTTGTTAGTCACTGGTTTCATGAAAGAGCAATTCATTTGTCCATTAACTAGAGGTGAAAAAACCTCTAAATATTTTGATATATCTCTTGGACCCACGGACTTATAAAGATTTGAGAAGACTTCCTGGATATGCAGACAAATATCATCCTCATCCTCAAGCCAGTCACCCTCTGTTGTTTTCAAACATAGAATTCATGTCTCCTGCCTTCAACCATTGAATTCTCGAACTTTGTGACCAATGTTTTTTCTCTCTTTGCCAAATTTCATCAATTTCCTGAGCCAACCTCATTGATTTGTATAAATTATCATAATCTGCCTCCTCACTTTGAACCTTAACCGACTTTGTTTTCAAAATATCCATCCTAGCCCTGTCTTGTACAAAAAGGTTTTTGCTCCATCTTCTTTGCTCCTCTTTGCATCCTCTTAATTTCCTACTTGTTCTAAACATATTGGACCCCTCTATCGAAACAGACCAAGTTTCTTTGACAATCTCTTCACATCTTGCATATTCAAACCATTTGTCCTCAAATTTAAATTATCTAGTTTTCCTCTTATTCAAACCCCAATCTATGCTAATTGGGCTATGATCAAAGCCCAATCTTACTTCATGAATCACCAAAGCATTGGGGAAATTCAATCTTCACTCTAGATTAACAATCACCCTATCAATAATTTCTTGAACATTTTCCCTCCCTGGCCTATTGTTGGACCATGTAAACTTAAGTCCTTTAAAATCTAGTTCCAGCATATTACAGTCAGAAATATGTTTGTTCAATTCCTCCACCTTTTTCATTCCCACTCCACATCCTCCTTTATTATCCCAAACTAAACCAATAATGTTAAAATCTCTAATTATCATCCAAGTATTTGTGACATTTGACAAGATAGCCCTAATCATCTGTCAGGTTCTCTGCCTTTTGTCATAATCCGGATTTGCATAAATGAAAGTAGCTTGCCACCTCATTGGAGGTTGTCTCAAATAACAAATAGTATTGATCACACTCTTGTCTGCTTCCTCAATGTTAGGCTATAAATCATCATTCCACCACAAAGCCAAATCACTCAACACTCCTACTAGTTCAACATAATAATAATTAGGGTGATGAAAACCCCTTCTTAGTCTTTCAAAATAATTTTTTCTATTCTTCGTCTCCATAAGGATAGCGAAGAATGAACAATGGGTATCAATGAGCCCTCATAAATAATGGGTTGTCCAGGATCGCCCAACTCCCTAACAGTTCCATAAGATCATTAACATGGCCTCTGTGGCTATTTTAGGTCAGCCACCATAGCCCTTTGAGATACTTGTAGATCAACTTTATTAGGATAAGTACTCTGGACTTGGGAAACCAAATGATTAAAGAAACTTCCATATCACTTTCATCTTGCTTCTCTTGAATACCCTCTTTGAAATCCCCATTCACCTACTGTATATTGCCTTCAAACCAATTCTCACTTGGAGGTTCCCTACTCTTCCTTTCTTTTAAGAACCCCTTTTATAACTTCGTTTCACTCTTTGATTAAGCTTAGTAGGCAATCTCAAAGCTATCCCTTCCTCCTCACTAGCAATTGTTTCCTTGATAGTTCCCCTTACGGTGCTGATTTGATATCTGCAAGTAGAGCTCTACACCATCCATCCCTTTCTGCTTCTTTACCCTTTTAGATACTTGTAGATCAACTTTATTAGGATAAATACTCTGGACTTGGGAAACCAAATGATTAAAGAAACTTCCATATCACTTTCATCTTGCTTCTCTTGAATACTCTCTCTGAAATCCCTATTCACCTGCTGTATATTGCCTTCAAACCAATTCTCACTTGGAGGTTCCCTACTCTTCCTTTCTTCTGAGAACCCCTTTTATAACTTCGTTTCACTCTTTGATTAAGCTTAGTAGGCAATCTCAAAGCTATCCCTTCCTCCCCACTAGCAATTGTTTCCTTGATAGTTCCCCTTACGGTGCTGATTTGATATCTGCAAGTAGAGCTCTACACCATCCATCCCTTTATGCTTCTTTACCCTTTGAGATACTTGTAGATCAACTTTATTAGGATAAATACTCTGGACTTGGGAAACCAAATGATTAAAGAAACTTCCATATCACTTTCATCTTGCTTCTCTTGAATACTCTCTCTGAAATCCCTATTCACCTGCTGTATATTGCCTTCAAACCAATTCTCACTTGGAGGTTCCCTACTCTTCCTTTCTTCTGAGAACCCCTTTTATAACTTCGTTTCACTCTTTAATTAAGCTTAGTAGGCAATCTCAAAGCTATCCCTTCCTCCCCACTAGCAATTGTTTCCTTGATATTTTCCCATATGGTGCTGATTTGATATCTGCAAGTGGAGCTCTACACCATCCATCCCCCTTCTGCTTCTTTACCCAACCTTTACCTTTACCCATCCCTACCTCCTCGTTAATTGAGTTCCTTTTAAGAGATATATGAAAAAAATTTATTTTCCAGTATTTGATCCACTTCCTAGGCCCTAACCCATAGTTTATACCAACTAGAATAACTTCGCGGGTCATCTTAACACTATGAGCTTCTCCTTCCTCACTCAAGCCTAAGGCCTCCTCACCTCTGTTTCCCAAACTACTACCCAACAATATTGGGCCCTATATTAGGCTTTTCGGAGGTTCAATAACATAGTACTCAAAGGGAGACAACCACTTTGAGATGTTAAATAGACTTTGCTAATGGGAGTTAGAGCCTTGCAATGGAGATATAAGAAGATTTTGTTTTAGCCCTTTGATTATCTGTATGTTCCTCTATCAACTTTGTTGCACCACATGTCCCCTCTCCTAAGCTTGGTGCTGAAACCGTTACTCTGACTTTCTCATATCCCACTCCACCATTAACTTTTGAATATAGGACACTTTGGATAGGTACCTTACCGTCTTTCTCACATGCCAGTGGCTGATTCCCTACTCCGATAGATTCTCCATACCAGATCTCTTCTAAACTAAACAACCCCCCACCTTCTCTTTCTCAGACCAATTTTTCCTATAGAAAACCAAAGATTGATTAGGTATACCTCAGACTTCTAGACCATATTCAGGATGCAAAGCCCCTGATTTCTTTTCCACACAATACCCCTTACTATGACAAATCCTCCCACAAAAGTAGCAAAAATTAGATAAATGTTCAAATTTGCAAGTAATACACAAATCATCCCTATGTTTCACGCACTAGGAAAACACCTTTCCTTAGTGATTCAGTAATATCAATCTGACACTTCACTCTCAGAAAAATTCTAGAAAGCAATAGGTTGTTCCATGATTCCTCTAGTTGGGTAGGTTCCCTAATAATCTAGCCAATCCTCCATACATTGTTGTTAGTCATCATATCGAATAGTAGCCCCTAGATTTGAACCCAGAACTCTGCAAATTGAAAATCAAAATCTCTCACTATAGCCTAAGAAGAACATTTCTTCAAGACCAGAAAAGCTCCCATAATGGATCAAGGACCTTCCTCATAGATCTTTTTTTTTTTTGTCACTTTCCTCTTTAAACAACAACATGTAAGTTTTTTTCTCCCAATAGGTTATAGTCAAACCCTTGGTAGTTTTCCAAGCTCCTAACAACACATTACATACCCCTACTTTATTTAGAGTAGATTTCAAAATCACCTTACCCACCATATAGAACTGTCGAATTTCTTGGGAGAAAGAGGGATTTGAATCTAGAAAGATTCTTGGATGGTTGATTTTTTTGGAACTAGATTCAACTTCCATTTTAGAAACGAAGAGGCAAAGGAAGACAGGAGAAGAAATGATGCTTATAGGTATTCTTTACGAGAGAAAAAGGGAAAAAACCAGATAGATTAAGTGACTCAGCAACGCAAAGGGAAACAACATCAAAGCATAAAAAGGAAAGAAAAACTATTGTGATTCCATGAGAAAACCATTCGTCTATAGCACGATGGAAATATAAAAGGAATATGAAACCCTAACCAAAGTAGAAGACGTAAATGTTGGATAAGATAGAAAAAAAATATTGGGATTTGCAAGGTCTGAGGTAAAGAGTGACACATAGAAGTTAATTGAATTAAAGATAGCCTCAAAAACATTAAAGCGGTGACTGTTAGACTAAAAGAAAATAAATCTAAGAACAAAACCCTCAAGAAAAGTCTCTCACATAACAAAAGGATGACCTTAGCCGAAAATCTAGTTGAAAATCCTGAGAAAATGTATATTGAAAAGGGATCTTTTTAACATTAACTATAACTTTAAAATTTTAAATGATGTTAGTGATGATGCACAAAATAGCCTCGTGCAAGATCAACAGTCAAGTGTGTGGCATTATGTAATTAACGAGACAATTATTAGAGCAATCAATGGCAAAAAAGTTAAATATTGAGTCAACAAATAGATTTATAGTGGTTCAATTCGGGTGACCTATTCCACTCCAAAAAATGGCAATGATGGCTAGAGAACTTTTATTAACAAATAAAGTAAGAGAGAGAAAGCTTCTGGAACGATATGCTCCGAGAAAGGCACAATAGCTAGGAGAAAGAAAAGCTATGTGAGGGGTATGTAGAGAGCTGTAAAGATGTGTGAAGAGGTGTCTCTCCCATACAGAGAAGGCTTACAATTTATAGGCGTAGGGCATTGGTTGAGGCGATGACGTGCGGATAAAGGCACTAGTCCTTCGGGGAGGACATCTACAATAGGTTAGTATAATTAAATTTTTTTAGATCTTCAAGAGTAGGTATCCCAATGATCTCTCTCCCACGTGCTCTTATCTTTCTGGGCTTCTTGAATCTTGGACTAGGTCAGATTGATGAACCGGGCTCTGCCTGCCTGTCTAGTGAATCTAGGCTTACTTGATTTACTGGGTCTAGCCCAATAAGATCTGGGCTCGTCATTTGCCCCCCATGTCCCAAGCCTTGGTGGTAAAAGGGTTGGAGGCATGAGTGAGTCTTTTACTTCTGGGTGGCTTGCTCCCCACGATAGCCTCTTCGTCTAAAAAAAGTTTCTTATTCTGCACTGTGGTAGCTTCTTCAACCTCCTGTTCCATTTGCACCTTGAGAGCTTGTTCTTTCAATTTGATAATCACTGTGGTTGGAAAGTCATTGTGCCGACGGTGATACTCCGACAACTTGGTGAACCAAGGTCTTCTGTTTTACACAGGTATTTGTCTTTTAGCTTTAAAGGACATTTTCTGTCAAACCCCTCCTATCCCTCTTTAAAACTAGGGCTTACTTACGATTTTCTCACTTCACAAATCATTGGGAAATTTGAAGGAGATAAGCATAGAGACAATGGAGAACAGGAAGAATGGTGCCCCCAACGATTCCATGTAGGAGGTCTCATCGAAGAAGAAGGGAGGTAAATTGTGGCTTACAGGCGATGAGCAGTAGGGATTGCTGGTGGCTGCCATTCTGGCATAGGTGACATCAGAGGCTTGGGTGGCGCCAGCCTTGCGAATGGCGAGATGCCAAAGGAGAAAGGCGACGCCTTGGGGGGCACAGGTGACACCATGAGCAATGTAGGCGGTGCCCTAGGCATTGATGGGGGAGCCCAACTCCAAGGAGGCGCCGAATAAGAGAGGGGTGACTCCTCCTTGAGGGGCACCATCAGCACGTTGGGCTGTGCCAACGGCGTGCCAGGCTACGATAATGGAGCCAATGACAAAGATGTAGGAGACGCTGGGCTGGGAGTCATCGTGTTGGGCGACGCTAACCAAGGCGTGGGCGAGCTTCGACGTAGCTAGAATGATAAGGTCTAATCTAAGCTTGGCAACCTCGGGAGGCACGTAGGCACAAGGAGAGGCGACGTCCTAGGCGTGCTTGACGGTGCCAAAACCGAGGATAGAGCAGATGTTCTTCTAAACTTTGTGGCATACATTCCAAACTTTTCTTTACAGTTTTCATGACATACCCCTAGAATGCGATTTAGAAAATTTAGTTGAAGTGCAACATGGACGTTGACTTACCCCAGATCGATCCCCAAAATTTAGTCAAAGAGCAACATGCATGTAGCTGGATTCTAACACAACTAGACTCCACAAGAATCCAACAGTCACTAGTATTCCCTTGACATTGACTTTGATTANGTTGACTTACCCCAGATCGATCCCCAAAATTTAGTCAAAGAGCAACATGCATGTAGCTGGATTCTAACACAGCTAGACTCCACAAGAATCCAACAGTCACTAGTATTCCCTTGACATTGACTTTGATTACGTCTTGGTTTTGTTTGTTGCCAGGCACCCACTGTAATTACCCAAAAAAAAAATTATTATATTATTTTAGTGCATTGGCTACCTAGGAGTAATTATATATATATATAAGGATAAAAATAATTTTAAAAAAAAAAGACTAATATATCTCTAATAAAAAGTCTTACCTAGAGACCTATTAGGACTCTTATACATGTAGTTTAAATAAGGTAGTATTGTTGGATAGGTCAAACCCTTATATATATAAAAATATATTTAGGTTGTAGGGTCTTTTGGTAAGAAGGCTTATGGAGGAGGTTGTCCTATGAACAAAGAAGAAAAAAATAATGTGAAAGAGGGAAAGAGAGAGAAAAGAAAGAAGGAGGAAGAAGACAAGTGGATTAAGTCCTTTAAAGTTGAGTTTATTATTTATTTTATGGGTTTAATAGTTTATTCAATCACATGATATTAGGTTGATGATAAAGATATTATGTAATATGTATATATACACATATACAGAATGAGTTTCATGGTAATCGTTTATTATTATTGAAATTTATTAGATTGAATTTAGACTTATAGTTNAGTGGATTAAGTCCTTTAAAGTTGAGTTTATTATTTATTTTATGGGTTTAATAGTTTATTCAATCACATGATATTAGGTTGATGATAAAGATATTATGTAATATGTATATATACACATATACAGAATGAGTTTCATGGTAATCATTTATTATTATTGAAATTTATTAGATTGAATTTTGACTTATAGTTAGCTAATCAATAGGTTGAAAAAGAAAAGAAAAGAAAAGGGTTTGGAATTGTTGTGGCAGAACAAACAACCTGGATGACCGTAGGTAGAAGAAGACCAATCCATAAATTATAGAAAGCTCCCCTTTAATTTCAAAGAGTTTTATTTTGACCCCTTTATTCTTCTGAACTTAATTTTAAGTACTTTTTTACTTGGTAAGTTGTAAGAACAGAATTCTGGAAAATTTATGGCAGCCCCAAAGACAAAAAATTTGTTTTTAAGAAAATTACACTTTGACCCCAAAATTTTAGAAACTTTTTCTAAATAGCCCAGAATACTTCCATATCCTATTCCCTCGTATTAGAAAGGATGTTTATATGTANGGAAAATTTATGGCAGCCCCAAAGACAGAAAATTTGTTTTTAAGAAAATTACACTTTGACCCCAAAATTTTAGAAACTTTTTCTAAATAGCCCAGAATACTTCCATATCCTATTCCCTCGTATTAGAAAGGATGTTTATATGTAAAGGATATATTAAGTATATATCAAAGAGTAGAAAGTACGTAAATTAAATATAGAATTATGAAATGACGAAGTTAGAAATAGGGATTGATCATTACATGTTATTTTGAATTAGGTGGTGATTGCATTGAGGTTGAGAAAGAGTGTTTTGAATTGAATTTTGGAAATCAAGGTGAGTAGTATATTACTTCTTTTGGGAAGATTTTCTATATTAAACTTGTGTGTGCTTGTGTGTGAATTTTTCATATATTCGATATATGTTGATGTTTGGGGTTGCAATTAAATATTTTTTTGCAATTGTGAATTGTTACACATGTGAATTTGCAAAACTTATGAGATGATTTTATATTATTGCTTAAATGATTTTGGTGATGAAAGAGATATTTTGTGTGCGATGGGACTAAAACAACAATTTTAGTATGTGTGTTGAAATCATGTTTTATGAGAAGGGAACTAGGTTACTAGGTCTAAATGGTAACGAGATTGTATACCATCGTGGTCGGTATAGGGATGTGCACATAGGGGCCAGTTATCAGGCTAGTGATAACAAAAGACGGGGTCAGTCATTAGACTAGTGATGACAAGAGATGGGGCCAGTTATCAGGCTAATAGTAACAAACATGATTTGACAAGTGTATTTGAGACTGAATGTGTGTGTGAGTGTTTTGGGCTATAAATGTCTTTTTTTTTTTTATAAAGTTATTATGATCATGAGATCATTTTGTTTACATGGTTATTTGAAAGGGATTGAAGTACAATTTATTGTATTTATAGATATAACAAAGTTTATTTCTGTGTGTATGAAATGTGGGATTTATTTTCAAACCTCATTAGAGGTGGTTGCTACTCACGGGCCTTTGTGCTCACCCAAATATTTAACATTTTTTCAGGTGAGGATCAGGAGAAGGAGTAAGTCCTCGGATAGACAAGGGATTAGAAGAATCGAAGATTTATTTTATTGTAGGTCTTCAGGAATAAATATTTTTTATAGTTTTGAGACAAGTATTCGATTATTTTGAGAACAATGTTGTTTTTGCTTAGAGTAGTGAACCTTATGGATTAATTATTGTTTTACATGAGTTTAGTAATAATGTCGGTGATGTTAGTTTATTTCTCTGGTATTCATTAGGTCGGTGAAAAAGATCACTTTATTATTTGTCTTCCGCTGTATTTTGCATTAATTATGCACAGGGATGGTTGGTTAAGGCCTTGGTGGCCGGTCCGCCGCCCACCCTATGTGATCCGGGGTGGGGGTGTGACACCCACTCTAATAAGCGCGTTATAGGGGAGGCTACTTGAGACATCGAGCGAGATTACGGGGACTACTAGAGATAATGGCTCGAAGGTGACTTCCATATTTAGCTCCATTGGCTGCGATGTGAACATTGTTCATATCGTATCTTCGTACCATATCCGTCCTCCTATAATGTGTTACTATGCAGAGGAGGACGAGCCAACGTGTTATGACTCCTTGGGTGAGATTGTTATTTATGAGGACATCTTGGAGGTGGGCTTGAGGTTCCCGATACCTGGGCCCATATATCAAGTCTTGGGACGTTTGTCACTAGCTCCTGGGAGGTTGGCCCCCAATGGGTGAAGGGTGATCTTAGCGTTCTTCCCATTATGGTGGCTAGTTCTCTGTAGTGATGTCCTTCCTACTTTCGAGGAGTTCTTGGCCACGTACGTACTTCTGGAAAACTCCATCCCCCATCAGGGGTTGTATCGTTTTGCCCCAAGGTCGGGCAAGTTCATTACTAGGCATCCTTTAAACTGTCATAGCTAAAAGTCTAAGTTCTTCTTTGTTGGAGACAAGTGGGCCGCCGAGAGAGATCGTGACCTGGTGCCTTCGAGGTGGGACACTGTCCTGAGGACCAAGTTAGGTAAGAGCTCCACTTTTGATTTTACTTCTGGTTGTCACATATCTACTCTTAATGTACGATTGACTTCTTTGTATCTCCACCCACATTTTCTGCAGGGCAGGAGAGTAGACTCCAAATAGTGAACGACCATCCTTTCAGGGATTTTTCAGATATCATGTCTGCATCGGGTCGTCCCAAGGTCTCACATAAGCCAAAGAGGAAAGGTATATGATCTTTCCAATAGACTCTTTGTGATTACAACGTTGTAAGTTTTTTGTCTCACACCAATTCTATAAGTACTTCCATTGATAGAGCAATAGTTGAGGTTNGTGAATTGGCCGAGCTGGAGTGGGGCTGCTTGATCTGTAAGTCTGCGCAAAAGCTGTTAAAGATTTTGTTGTCAAACTGTTTAGCGTTATCACTTACAATTGCATGAGGTATTCCGAAGCGGCAAACTATGTTCCNCTCTTTATATTTCCAGAATGGCGTCTTCCCCCTCCTTCTTCTAAGAGGGCGAAGTCTGATGCCCCTGGTATTTCTCAGTTGANTTCTTTATATTTCCAGAATGGTGTATTCCCCCTCCTTCTTCTAAGAGGGCGAAGTCTGATGCCCCTGGTATTTCTCAGTTGANATGAATTGGCCGAGCTGGAGTGGGGCTGCTTGATCTGTAAGTCTGCGCAAAAGCTGTTAAAGATTTTGTTGTCAAATTGTTTAGCGTTATCACTTACAATTGCATGAGGTATTCCGAAGCGGCAAACTATGTTCNAGACCTGCTAACGCCCCCCGTTCTTCACTAGTTAATGCTACTTCACCCCCCAGATACGGGACCTGCGGAGGAGCAAGCACGAAGGACTACGGAAGAGCAATTGGGGCTCGAGAGGCTGTCGAAGAGTAGTCAAAGCTAGCACACGAGACAGCTGTCAAACTTAAGACCGAGCTTTAGGCGTCCNGGACCTGCTAACGCCCCCCGTTCTTCACTAGTTAATGCTACTTCACCCCCCAGATACGGGACCTGCGGAGGAGCAGGCACGAAGGACTACGGAAGAGCAATTGGGGCTCGAGAGGCTGTCGAAGAGTAGTCAAAGCTAGCACACGAGACAGCTGTCAAACTTAAGACCGAGCTTTAGGCGTCCCATGAGAAGGTTGCCCAACTGGAGGTTGCCTGCGCGACAGCATAGACAGATGAGAAGGTCGTTGCTTCGAGCAGCTCTTGAGAGAGCCACTAGGGCAGAGGCTTACTCAATTGAGATGGAGAAGAAGAGGGGTTCTATTGAGAGGGTTGT